ATTTAAAAAGTAACGCAAAAGTAACGTAATGCATTACTTTCCATAAAAAGTAACTAAGTAACGTAATTAGTTACTTTTTTATGGAGTAATGCAATATTGTAATGCATTACTTTTAAAAGTAACTTTCCCCAACACTGTTAACAACACATATACAGTAATGTAGACTGCTATTAAAACCAATTCACAGAACAAAGGTACAAAACAGATTTCAGTACTTCAATGAGGTTGATGTGTTAACATCATATCAGTTAATGAAATTACGGTATTTAACTGTAAATTTAAGTTAAAACCGTAAAACTTAAAACATTGCTACCGTATTTTTTACGGTAAAATTCAGGCAACCACAGCTGCCGTTTTTTTACCGTAAATTTTACAGTATTTTTTTTTACAGTGTAGGTACGGTACATAAAACTAACCTAGTACCTGTGTTGTTTTTGTGCAGGGTGCTGCTGCATACCCAGAAAATGAAGACCAGCAGCAGAGGCTGCGAGAGGCTGCTGAAGGGTTACGGGTCGCCACCAACGCAGCCGCTCAGAATGCCATCAAAAAGAAACTCATTCACCGACTGGAGGTGAGGACATGTATTATGCCACCTCCCATTCAGTGTCCGCTCTGTGTTTGATCCTGCCTTGAATCACACAGTTTTAACATACTAAATTATAGTGGTGTGGAGGACGCTAATAAAATGTAAAAATGGATTACTGTGCAAGCCCATTTTTAAGCTCAACAGCATCCATCCCCAGTTTTGTGTCTGTTTAGGTCAAAACTCATATTAGCAAGGAAGAGGTGGCTTTTTATCAGCCTGTATGTGGTAGCAGTCTAGTTTCCATAGCGGGTATTTTTCCATTGGCCGACAGTTTCAGTCAGTGGAATCCAGCGTTCTGGTTCTGTTTGGTCTCTTCCCATCAACAAAAATGGCTTCGTTCTTGAGGTTCTTTTTATCTGTCTGTTCCATCTATCATCCTTCCTCACACATGGAATATTCTTTCATAAAACAAAGAATCTTTTTCTTGTTGCTCGCCTTCTTTTGCTCTTACTTCTAAAGTGTAGCATGCTGCCACTGGATTTTGAAAAATCCTTTTATGATGGACATCGCCAGAAACATCCCAAATGCTCTACAATCCTTGCTGAACCTGTAATGAAATTCACTCAGAACAGTCGGGTCTTTGTATGGTTAACACTACATCTAACCCGGTGCAGAGTGATGCCAAATGTTAGGGCAGCACAGTTAATTGAAATAAAACCAAAATCGCAATATTGCTTAGTGTGATTATCAAGTCGCAAAGACTGCAATTTAATTATATAAATAAAAAATATATAAATATACTGAACAAGTGCATACATTGAACATGAAGAAATTAGGTATTGTAATTTTACAGTTGGTTTAAATATAAAATTATTATTATTATTATTATGTTCTTAAATGCTTGTTTTTTTATTTTACATTGAAATATTACAATAGTTTTATTTACTATTTTTATTTAGTAATAGTAGTAGTAAAATAATAATAATATTAATAATAACTAATAAATAAAGAAAAAATTATTTAAAATGTATTGTAAAAAATATTATAATTTTTATATTTTTTTATTTACAATGTAATATAGCAATAATATTTCTTATTTTTATTTATATATTATTATTATTATTACTAAATAAATATTTATATTTGTATTTATATAAAATAGTAGTTGTAGCAATATATTTATTATTGTTGTTGTTGTTGTTGTTGAATTGTCATATGTATATATATTCACAGCATTTTTGGTCAAATAGTGCTGTCCTACATTTTTTTTTTAATCACAATTTTTATTTTTATTTTTAAATTGCTATTAGGTTTTTTTTTTCTTCTCCAAATTGTGCAGCCCAACCAGATGTAATAGACCGCCACTGTTTCCACGTTTGTTATTTGCTGTGTTAGTAATTATTGAAGCTGTAATTCATTATTGTTATTTGTTTGGAACAGAATGCAGCTAAGCAGGCCGCAGCCGCAGCTACGCAAACCATTGCCGCCGCCCAGAATGCAGCTGCATCCAATAAGAACACCATGTCACATCAGCAGCTCGTGTTCAGCTGCAAGGTATTGTGGGTAGTTCTGTTCTGGTTAGTTCAGGATTTTTGAATTTGAATGAAACTATTCCGACTGTGGATTTGTGGATGCTCTTCAGGCAGTGGCCGACCATATCCCACAACTAGTACAGGGAATGAGGGGCAGTCAGGCCTACCCGGAAGATCTTGGTGCCCAACTCGCCCTTATCATCGCCAGCCAGAGTTTCCTGCAGGTAAAAAGCACATTCTGTGTTTGTTTAGCAGCCTCTGATTTGACGTTTAAATGATCCTCACATTGTTTCTGTCTCCAAACAGCCGGGAAGCAAAATGGTGATGTCTGCTAAAGCGGCCGTTCCGACGGTAACCGACCAGGCAGCTGCGATGCAACTTGGTCAGTGTGCCAAGAACCTGGCCACCTGCCTGGCAGAGCTGCGCACAGCTGCACAGAAGGTGCCCACAGTTCACTGCCTCCTAGTAGATCCAAAACACCTTTAAATACTGAAGCATATTGTAATAATAATCAGGCGTAGAGATTCATCCTTCCATTACTCATGTTTTAAAGGGACAGTTTGGACAGAAATTATAGTTTTCTCATTATTTAAGGTGTGGTCACATTTTCCGCAAATTTTCACAGTTGAATTTCAGTGGGAATCTGCGCAAATAGGAACTTTTCATGAGTGCGACAGACAGTCGTTAAAATTTGGGAACTTTTCATGAGTGCGACAGACAGTCATTAAAATTGTTTTAAGTTGTGAAAGAATCTCTACACTATTGATAATAGACTTAGACGCCATATTGAAATGAACAAGGATGAAAACAAATAGACTTACAGTCTTAACAATGGCACTGTATAAAGGTCCTAGATGACGTAATTTTACGCAACTCACTTTCAAAACTGTTTTATGAGGTTTTTAACTACTGGAGGTTTTTTTTTTTTTTTTCAGAAAGACATTTATCAGCTGAACAATTGATATATTGTTAAACAACAGTAGAATCCACTAAACGCACTGCACTTCAGTCCCTCAGAGCTTTGTGTTCAGTCCTGTCAAAAATAGAAAATGGCACTACCCTGTCTAAGGTGTATGGACAATGGAGCTTTTTTCACAGAAGTTGGCTGTAAATGTTTGTTTGTTTGTTATCTTTGTGTATTGTTTCATAGGCTCATGAGGCGTGTGGTCCTCTGGAGATCGACTCGGCTCTCAGTGCTGTTCAGACTCTCAAGAGTGAACTACAAGATGCTAAAATGGCCACACTGGAAGGACAACTCAAACCGCTACCTGGAGAATCGGTAGGTGAAATTTATCACATAAAACTAAATCATCAGACTTGTTAGCAGTAGTCCTCACCGTTACTTCTTCACACTTGTGTCTGTAGTTGGAGAAGTGCGCTCAGGATCTCGGAAGTACATCTAAAGCTGTGGGCTCCTCCATGGCCCAGTTATTGACCTGTGCCGCCCAGGGCAACGAACATTATACTGGTGAGATGACTTATGTTGCTTTTCAGCATATGAAACACAATATTTCAGGAGAATATATCTATCCTGAATATGAAACGTGCAGTATAACAACAGGATTTACACAAGTAGGACACGTTCCTGGATTAACGTCCCATCAACCAATCATTACCCTTTGAATTTTGGGTTAAGTCCTTGATTGTTTGGTAGAACACAAACAGCAAATGTTGATCCATGAACATGTCTTGTTTTTTGTAAATAACGTTAAAACGAATGATGTACTATTTGAATACAAATTTAAATAAACGCTCCTCAAGCAATTTACAATGCATTCAAGATAATCGAACCCAAGACCTTGGCATCCCTAGTGAAATTCTCTACCAGTTGAGCTAAACAAAAAGTAGTTATTCATCCAGGTTTTTATTATCAAGTATCTTTTGCAACAAAAACAGAGACATTTGCAGAAATATCTAAATTCATCTACGATTAATATTTCATGCATCTACGAGATGCTTGTAAGCTGGCTGAGTTTTCCCAACAAAGCTGCTTCTTCCAAATTAAAGGCATGAAAACTGAGAGGAGAGCGATGCTGTAACTTACCTGCACCACCCATCAATTTTTCACTCTGTCTGGCTGGATCGCTGCTCTCAGGAGAGCTTCTGAAGACAGATTTTAATGGCATGCTCGAACAAATCCCCCCTCTTCCACTCCGGCTCCTGCAGCTTCTCAAGCCAAGGGTATAACTAACCCCCATCCCTCATTAATCTTATTTTCACTAGATTTAACATACCATCAGCAATTGGGCTCTACTTGGCTGGATAATGCAATTTGATGCAATTTGCCTGCATTGGCCCTTCCCTTTTTTTTTTTTTGCTTTCTGTTCTATAAGTAAAGGCCAGATCCCATATGGCGCCTTATTTTCTTTCCACACTCATTTACTGGAACAGCAGGGGCATTCTGAGTCAACCATGAGCCAAAATGAGGCATAAAACTTTATTTGGAGCAAGACATTTGGACTGGGTGCTTCAAAAATGTCCCTCATTTTGCATTACAGTGTATTGCAGTCGGTCAGTAAATGTAAAAATAAGGTAAAAAAAAAAATATATGTGTTTTTGATGACTGATACCAGTGTTGATAATTAAGAGAAGAATGTGGTTGAACACCATTTATAATGCTATAATGGAATCCAAAAATGAAACCAAAAAAATCATACAAATTGGCAAAACTATTTATTTGCCACATTTTCTCTTTAAAAACAAACACTCTGAAGATTAATTAGGCCAAGCAGACATCGTTATCAAATGATGCACATAATCTCAGTCTTTTACAATGATAGACCGATATAATGCCAAATATCGGCCAATTAATCGGATTTGTCCAGTCAGTTATTGTAATAGATATGAATGAATAAAATGATGCATTTATATAGCGCTTTATTGTGTATTGTTGTACACCCAAAGCGCTTTACAATCATGTGGGGGGGTCTCTCCTCAACCACAGAATCTCATACTATCAAAAATCAGCCGATTAATTGTTCAGAGTGATATATCCTGTGATCGCTATGGTAAATATAATATCAGAATGTCAAATATAATTTATTATCTGGCCGATATATCGGTCGATAACTGATAGACATAATCTCAGAATGCCAAATATTTTCCAATTATTGTCCAGTTATATATTGTTCGATTGCTATGATAAATATATTCTCAGATTGCTAGATATCAGTGTAGTCTGCCCAGTTTATCAGAACACTGATAATTGTGCTCCTAATGTTTCAACCATGTTTTGACCAAATCTTAGATTGTCTGATTCGGTCTGATATCCTACATAATCTCCTAATGACAGATATCATAGATTAAATGATCTGATCAATATATTGGTTGATCATTATGATCAAAATAATCTCATAATGTCAGATACTGGCAGATTAATCAGCCAATAATTGCCAAATTCAATGACTTATCACTCTAGTCAATAAATCAGCTAATCACTGAGATAGATATAATGTCACAGTGTTAAATATTGGCTGATATATTGGTCGATCAATATGCTAGAAAGATATAATATTAAATGGCAAATTTATGCAGATTAATCAGACTAACCAATATATTGGTCAATCACTATGATAAATATAATCTCAAAATCGTTCAGTCTGGTTGATGCATATTGACTGATTAATTGGTGATAAATTGCCCAATTGCTAAAATAAATATAATCTCAGAATACCAAGTATAGTCTTGTTAATATATTGGTTGATCACTGATATAATCTCAGAAATATTGCAAATATTATCCGATTAATCGGTCTAGCTGTTATATCGGTAGATCACTGTAATAGATATAATAGCAGAATCTCAAATATTGTCCAGTTAATTGGTCTGACTGTTATATCAGTAGATCCCTGTGATGGATATAATCTCAGATTGTCAAATGCTCTCTAATTACTAAGTCTGTTTTATTGGTAGATCACAGTGATTTAATCTCAGAATGCCAAATATCGTCCAAATAATCAGTCTGACTGTTATATTGGTAGATCATTGTAATAGATATAATCTCAAAATGGCAAATATTGGTTGATTAATCAGTCTGTTGATTATATTGGTAGACCACTGTGATAGATATAATCTAAGAATGCCAAATATTGGCCAATTAATCGGTCTGTTATATCGGTAGATCATTGTAATAAATATAATCTCAAAATTGCAAATATTGGCCTATTAATTGGTCTGATGATTATATTGTTAGATTACTGTGATAGATATAACCTCAGAATGCCAAAAATTGTCCAATTAATCGTCCTGGTCCATATACCAGTTATAATATATATTTTCAATTGCTTACATTTGTGTGTGTGTGTTTGCGGCAGGTGTGGCAGCAAGGGAAACCGCTCAAGCTCTAAGGACGTTGGCCCAGGCCGCGAGGGGAGTGGCAGCGAGTACTGTGGAGCCCCAAGCTGCAGCGGCCATGCTGGACTCTGCCTGTCACGTGATGGAGGGCTCGGCCATGCTAATCCACGAAGCCCACCAAGCCCTAGTGTGCCCTGGTGATGCAGAGAGCCAGCAGAGATTAGCACAGGTAGGACGACGCACATTACATGCATTCCACCATTAAACAACTCGCAAATAACGACAGATGTCCACCCATCTGCGAGAACATTTATTCAATGACAAGTAGAAGCTAAAGTAGAAGTTTGGTTACATAGTTATCCAAAAAAAGTATTTATTCGTCTTTATATGAAGCCAGAATAGTTTTTGTCTTCTTCAGCTACTGTGTTAAAACCAGATCAATCTCCCATCAGCTCCCTCTTGGCAATTATCTCCAATAAACTGAGCTATTTTCTATTGTCTCTCTGTTTCTCGGCGCACCCTTTTTCTGGAAGGCACCAGCGTGCCTCCTGATTCGCACAGGTTCCTTTGGGATGCAAACATATTGCTTGGCATATGTCTGTGACAGTGGCATAAATTAGGGACACGGATTTCTCTGTTGTGCCGAGGGGCTGATTTGAATTTTAGATTCACGCCACATCTCTCCGGGCCTTTGTAGAGTTATTGGTGGGAATGTGTGTGTTTGTTGGTGTTTTTCAGGTGGCGAAGGCTGTCTCTCACTCTCTGAATAACTGTGTGAACTGCTTACCTGGACAGAAGGATGTGGACATGGCTCTCAGGAGCATTGGCGAAGCCAGTAAAAAATTGCTTGTGGAAAATGTACGTTTTTTTGTCGGTTCTGTGTAGCTACTAGTGAGTCTAAACATAAAACTGTGTAAATGATCCGAAAAATGTTATTACATAAATTGTCGCAATTTATAAATGCTGTTCACAGAAATTCCATCTGATCATGTTTCATGAATAAGGCCCAACAGTGATCAACCCTAACTTTTTCCAGCTTCCTCCATGCTCCAAATCCTTCCAAGAGGCCCAGACTGACCTGAACCACACGGCAGCGGAGCTCAATCATTCAGCCGGAGATGTGGTGCAGTCTACACGTGGGAGCAGCAGCCAGCTGGCTGTGGCTTCCGGGAAGTTCAGCCAAGACTTTGACGAGTTTTTAGATGCTGGCATCGAGATGGCCGGACACACTCAGGTACAGTTTCAGCGCCCTCTTAGAGCTGAGAGATGGTTCTTAACATGCTCCGCCCACGGAGAAATCTGATTGGTCCATTTACATTTATGCATTTAGCAGACGCTTTTATCTAAAGCGACTTACAAAAGAGGAACCAAACAACTCTTCAAAGAGCTAACAATATTCATAATACACAATGCCAGGTTTATTAAACAGCTAGATTAGGTCCAAAATCCTTGAATTTGTTGCTTTGCACAACAATGAAAAATTTTCATGTACACATGTATACTATTGTTCAAAAGATGTAAGATGTTTTTGAAAGAAGTTACTTATGCTCACCAAGGTTGCATTTATGTTTAAAAATACAGTTAAAATATTATTGCAATTTAAAATAAGTGTTTTCTATTTGAATATATTTTAAAATGTAATTTATTCCTGCCATGCAAAGCTGAATTTTCAGCATCATTACTCCAGTCTTCAGTGTCACATGATCCTTCAGAAACCATTCTAATATGCTGATTTGATGCTCAAGAAACATTTCTGATTGTTATCAATGTTGAAAACAGTTGTGCTGCTTAATATTTTGTGGAAACATGAAACATTTTTTTTTAATTCTTTGATTCAAAGAGCAGCATTTATTTAAAATATAATTTTTTGTAACAAAAGTGACAGTACTTTTAGAATTGAATGCATCCTTGCTGAATAACTATTACTTTCTTTAAAAATAAAATCAACTTTTGAAAGGTAGTATACACAGTATATATGTTAAACAACTAACCAAAGAGAAAAAACAAATGGCCATCACATTTTCTAAAATGATTCATTTGTTAATTAGCGCCTCACATCTAATTCACTCAGGCACATAATTGTTCCAGAGAGCATGAAGATGCTCCACCCTAATTAAATCTTTGATGATGTTCTGGTTCTGCATGTTTTGTTGATTCATTTGGAGAGACGGGCGAGCAGAGGGGTTGATGGAGCGTGACATGCCCATTAAAGGATGACTGAGGGATAGTGCGGGACACAGAGGTCTGGCTGGACAGAACAGGCCAGAAGCCATCAGCAGATAGTCTAGCTCTTTGAGACTAATGCCCATCGAAATGACATGTAAAATAAGAGCCACGGTTTGCTCTTTTTAAGGGCAAAATTAGAAAAGCAAACACTGTAAAAAAAAATCAAAAGTTGAGAAAGTGTAAAAGTTTAAGGCAACCAGCTTCAGGAGATTTTTGAGTTTTCTCAACTTGTTGTTTTCAGTTTATACAAAAACAAGTTGAAAAAGCTCAAAAATCTCCTGAAGCTGGTTGCCTTAAACTTAAGTTTTCTCAACTTTTAGATTTTTTACAGTGAATCAGCTTGGGTCATGAATATTAATTATGTGGAATCATATAATATATATTCAGTAGGCCTACAATGCCTTGAAAGGCAGACAATGGTTTACCACCTGTTTTGGTCTGTTCTGCACACAAAGCTGTCATATGTCTACAGAAGACGTGAAATATGTTGCTTAAGTAAGCCGTATGGACCACATTTATGATACTTTTATGGTATTTTGCATCCTTTTTGAAGTTTGAAAGCTTCCCCATTTATACTTGCATGGAAAAGTATTACAAGCAAGTTTACATTTTGCAGTTTTTACTGTTTTTCCTCACAATTCTGAGTTTACATCTTAAAATTCTGAGTTTATAACAGAATTGCAAGAAGTAAAGTTAGAATTGTGAAATAAAAAGTCGAAATTACCTTTGTTTTTATTCCGTGGCAGAAACAAGCTTCCATAGAAAAGTGACGAGTATGTGATCCTTAGAAGTAAGTCAGTCATATGGGTTTAAAACGAAATGAGAGTAGTGATATTTTTAGGTAACCTATCACTTTAAATTTTGTAACCATAAAATATAACCTGTATTCAAAGAACACTGCACATTTTTCTGCTGAAATAAAGTTGAAGAACAACATAGTTTGACTGCTGGCTGAGCTGCCGTCTTTTGTTTCCATAGTCCAAAGATGACCAGATTCAGGTGGTTGGCAACCTGAAGAACATCTCTATGGCATCCAGCAAGCTGCTGTTGGCCGCCAAGTCCCTCTCCATTGATCCAGGGGCGGCAAATGCCAAGAACCTCCTCGCAGCTGCGGCACGGTAGGAATGAGCTTCATTCGGCAGTCTAGAGAGAGTTTAGTGATCATTAACCAGTCAACCTGAGGGGCAGCCTGCTGGCCAACGACAAAAAATTAGCTATTCAGCTGAATGTTTTTGCAAAATGAGAAACTGTGTGTATGAGTGTGTGAGAGCATGCCTAGCTAACCATATTTTAACCAAAACCTTTGGGGGCCTCATTTATTAAACAATGTAAATTAATTTTGTTGGTCACACTTTATTTTAAGGTCCAATTCTCGCTATTAACAAACCATTAACTATGGCTTTTGCCTCAATAAACTTCTAATTTGCTGCTTATTAACAGTTAGTAAGGTAGTTGTTAAGTTTAGGTATTTGGTAGGATTAGGGATATAGAATATGGTCATGCAGAATATGTGCTTTATAAGAACTAATAAACAGCCAATATGTTAATAATAGGCATGCTAATAAGCAACTAGTTAAAAGTGAGAATTGGTCCCTATACTAAAATGTTACCGTTTTGTTTGTTTGTTTGTTTTTTTAATTGTAATAATGCAGAAAGTTTTCTGTAATGGTGTGAATTATGGTCAGGTTATATTAAATATAACTAACTGTATATAAAAATGGCCATACTTTAGTTTAGGGACCAATTCTCACTATTAACTACGACTTTTGCCTCAGTAAACTCTTAATTTTTAATAAACTCTTAACGCTTTTTAATAGTTAGTAAGGTAGTTGTTAAGTTTAGGTATGGGGTAGGGTTAGGGCTGCACGATTATGACAAAAATCATAATTGTCGATTATTCCCTTGAAATTGTAATTGCGATTATTAATTCAGATTATCACAATTTACAAATGTTTATACCATTGTTTGATGCAACTGCATGCTGTATTTTTATATGAAAATAAACAAGCATAAAACACTCTAACTGAAAAACCTTTAGTGCTTTTCTATAGTATTAAGCCTCAAATGTCAACTATACATTGGATTGGTTTCTTCTTTAAATTATAAAAAAAGTAAAAATATGAATGGTATTATAATGTTATACTAAAACTAAAACAATGGAAAAACTCTTAAGATAACATGTAGAAAGAAAAAAACATATCTTAAGCGTGCAGAATAACATAAGTGGACTTTGAACGATTAATTGCCACTTTGAACGATTACGTAATTGTGACATCCATAATTGTAATCGCGATTAGAAATTTGATTAATTGTGCAGCCCTAGGTAGGGTTAAGGGATCTAAAATATGGTCATGCAGAAAAGGCATTAATATGTGTTTTATAAGTACTAATAAACAGCTAATATGATAGTAATACAGTATGCATGCTAATAAACTAGTTAAAGGCAGGGTAGGTGATTTGGTTCAAAAACATTTTTTATGCTGGTTGAAAGTCTCTTCACATCCCGATAGCAAACACCAAGTAAAGTGGTCTAAACTTATATGTATTTATATCGTCTGTGGATGCGTAGGATCATAAAATGTTCGTTCAATCAAAATGTTCTGCCTGCCTGTCAAAATATGTATTTGCATACCTCTGCGCACCCTTTTTGCGCAGAGATGATACGTCATCAGTGCGTTCCAGCGAGAGTGAAAGGCGCTATTATTGTAATATTATGCGCTTTGTTCTGTAATGTTTTCTCACGTGTGAATGAGACATGAGGTAATCTGACAGCGTTGCATTCAATCCCCCACCAAAGCCGTCTCTCATCGTTTCGCTGGTTATTCTCTGGTCTGCCTGCGGGCGTGTTTTGGAGGAGGCGTGGCTTTGCAGAGTCATTATGCAGGGAAGGTGGGGATCAAAGCTAGCTTGCTATCGCTAGCCTTTCTGAAATTGCCTACCCTACCTTTAATAGTGAGCATTAGTCCTTAAAATTGAATTGTCTATGTTCTGTCTACCAAATGTCACCTTGAGGAAAACAAATAAATACACATTACTATGGTCAAGCATACATGTTTGGAGAGTGTGTTTGTTTATCTGTTTTTGTTTGTTAGTTTTCAAGTGTTTGTATATATGTGAGTGTGTATGTTTGTTAGTGCATTTTGTTTGATTATGTATGAGTGTTTGAGTAAATGTTTTGTTAGTGAAAGTTTGTTTTTGCTTATGTGTGTTTGATTGTGTGAGCGTGTTTGTGATTGTTAGGGTGAGTTTTGTTTGTTATTGTATGAGTAGGTTTGTTAGTGTGCATTTTATGTGAGTTTTGTTATTGTGTATGTTTGTGTTTGTTAGTGTGTGTGAGTATTGTTAGTGTGTGAGTATATTTGTTTGTTAGTGTTTGAGATTTGTTTGTTATTGTGCTGGCATATTTGTGTTTGTTATATTGGTAGCACTTTATTTTACAGTCCTGTTCCTCATGTACATACTATGTACTTATTGTAATAATTACAATAACTAGGTACTAACCCTGAACCTACCCCAAATCCTAACCCTACCCCATGTACTTACCTTATATTACCAGTACTTTCTTGGGTAAGTACACTGTAAGTACATTGTAAGTACATGTAAGTACACGTACTATAAAATAAAATGCAACCGTTATATTTGTTGTTGTGTGAGTATGTTTGTGTTTATTATTGTGTGAGGGAGAGTTTTGTTATTGTGTGTGTGTTTTGTAATTATTTAAGTTGTTTGTTACCGTGTGAGTATTCTTTTGTTTCTATTGTGCATGTTTTGTTTGTTAATGTTTACATTTTGTTTATGTGTGGGCTTATTTTTGCTTGTACATGTGTATGTGTATGTGTTTGTGTGTGTGTGTGTGTGTGTGTTAGCTTGTATGTTTGTTGATTTGTTGTTTGGATTTTCTTGAATGTGAGTGTTTTTGTTTGTGTGTTTGTTTGTGATTGTGTGAGTATGTTTGTGTTAATGTGTGTTTTGTTGCTAGTGTATGTTTGTTAGTGTTTGAGTATTGTTATTGTGTATGTTTGTGTGTGTGCATGTTTTGTTAGTGTTTGAGTTTTGTTTGTTAATTTGTGGGTGTGTTTTGTTTGGGTGTGAGTGATTTGTTGGTTAAAATGTTTTGCTTGGATTACATGTATGTGAGAGTTTTTGTTTGTGGTTTTGTTATTGACTTTGCTGCTGTTTGTTAGTGTGTCAGGTTTGTGTGTTTTGTCCAACGTCCCCCACACAAGCGTAATTATACAGCATTATTGATATGACATTATAGATAATAAATAATGTCATGAGGAAAATCGGAAGAAAAAAAGGAGAATTGTTTTGGGCTTGAGTTACATTTATGGCCAGAATTAGGGGATAGAAAATATTATTAGCTCAATATAAAAACAATAGAAGTCAGTGGAAAATACCTATCCTGATGAAAAAGAATTCTGTGTGTGTGTGTGTGTGTGTGTGAGAGCGAGAGAGAGAGAGTACTGTAGAATCCTCTCAGGTACCACAAGAAAGCAGCTGCTCCTGAGGGTTTTGAGCTAGATTGATTTAGTTTCCTTAATGAAAGCGAGAGCAGACTGACACACATACACTCCAACACACACATACACTCACTCAAATCTTGGCTCATATGAGTGTAACAAAACCTTGTTTTGTCATGATTCTGATAAATTTGTAAGACCTCAATGTTAGTGCCTCCTTCCTACATTTAGGGAGTGAAAGCTCAATGAGAAAAATAGATTTGATAAGTGAAGTCTTTGAAGGAGCTTTTTGTGTCATTCTGACTGTGTGTGATTTTCTGTGTTTCAGAGCGGTCACAGAGAGCATTAATCAACTCATCACACTGTGTACCCAGCAGGCACCAGGACAAAACGAGTGTGATAACGCTCTACGAGAACTCGAGGTACTTGAACACACACACTTAATCTTACAAAGTTTTATCCGGTGCTTCTACTAAATACTGAGTAAAGGGTCTGAATACTTAGGACCATTTGATATTTCAGTTTTTCTTTTTTAATATATCTGCAAAAATGTCAACAATTCTGTGTTTTTCTGTCAATATGGGGTGCTGTGTGTACATTAATGAGGAAAAAAAATTAACTTAAATGATTTTAGCAAATGGCTGCAATATAACAAAGAGTGAAAAATTTAAGGGGGTCTGAATACTTTCCGTACCCACTGTATATTTGAGATGAGTATTGATGAAATTATGATGGTTTTGTACTTCTATGAATGTAAAGGAAAATAATTAATTGCTTTCTTATAAACATACATATATGAATATTACAACATATATATATGCACATGTATATATTCATAATTTATATTCATATTTTGAATAAAATTTTACATTTTTTCACATATATTTCAACAAACAGTATGAAATAAACAAGATGAGGGCCTGTTTTTTTCCCGTTAGGTCTTCTATGGTGGTCTTATATAAATAAGATCAACGTTAGATCATATTTGGCCTTATTTGTTGATTAAAAACAGCATTTTGTGTGATGCCTTTGTGAAACATTCAAATATACCAGCCACAGGTCAGTTGTGTGTTAAAGTAGAGCCAACAATGATTATTTGGGGTCTGTGAATGATTATAATTTATGTCCAAACCTGTGTAATCATTTTGAAATGGGTTGTTTCTGCCCCAAACACAATGCTTTTTGTTCATTTTCTGAGGTATTTGGTGGTGTGCTTTTTATTACATTTATGAGCCTTGAAATTCTTTGATATACTGTAAGTTAGAAATATCTCAAATATCTCAAAGCAACAGGCATGCTCAACATCTTAAGGTGCATTAACCTTTCCCTCTCCCACGAACACACAGGCTGTTCGAGGAATGTTGGACAATCCCAATGAGCCGGTCAGCGATCTCTCTTATTTTGACTGCATTGAGAGCGTTATGGAGAATTCCAAGGTAAAGAATCCATCACAACATTCCTGAATTCTCTAAAGAAATTTGTTCGTTCCAAATGTTTACACATCTCGCCGTCTGACTGAACAGGTTCTCGGGGAGTCCATGGCTGGAATCTCACAGCATTGTAAGACGGGAAACGTGCCAGCGTTCGGGGATTGTGTGGGTGTGGCGTCCAAAGCGCTGTGTGGGTTGACTGAGGCTGCGGGACAGGTGAGCTTTTAGCCTGATACTCTCTGAGGCTGCTCACAACTAGAAATCAGTGGTTAAGTTGTAAGTCATTACAACTAGAAATCAGTGGTTAAGTTGTAAGTCATTATAATCAGTAATTATGTATCCACTGGATGCAACAAATGCCTCGTTTATAATGGGTTTTAATGTTTTTGTCTCGTCGCTCCAGCTGACAGGTTGGCTACTTCTCATTGCTTCAGTAATATCCTGTAGTCTATTCCCTTTAAGACAAGTGCAACACTCAAAAGCCCAGATCAATTTCATGGCTGGATTCATCTCAGACATTTACCACACACATCAGCCTGGTACACTAATCACACCCGCAGACCAGGCATCTGTACGTGGCAAAAAATAAATAAACGAACAAAATCCCTTTCTTAATCGATATTTTTGTCTTGTTTTCAAGTGAAAGCATCTAAACATCTTTGAAACGAGATATATTTATGGAGAAAATATGATTTATTGTCAGAACATATTTTTTAAAGTTTATTTTTCTTACCCCCAGAGGCAATTCTTGGATTTCAGTCTTTGGGGAGCTCAATCTCCCCAAATGAACGCGAGATGATGGGTCTCAGAGGAATATTTCTTGCCTGGAGTAAGATACATCACAAGTTCAAACTAAAAAACTTTATAAATAAACAAATAAAATAGCATATATCTCTAGGTACACTAGTAAGATTTTAAGGAAGTTATTATTTTTATTCAGCAAGAACACATGAAATTGATCAAAAGTGAAAGTAAAGGCATGTATAACGTTACAAAAAAATCTATTTCAAATAAATGCTGTTCTTTTAAACTTCTTATTTTTCAAAGAATCCTGAAAAAAAACATATATATGTATATATATATATATATACATATATATGTTTTTTTTGTGTGTGTGTATGTTTTGAATTTTTTCACATATATTTCGACAAACAGTATGAAATAAGCAAGATGAGGGCCTCTTTGTTTCGTTAGGTCTTCTCTGGTTGTCTTATTCATATAAGATCAACATTATATCATATTTGGCCTTAGCCACAGGTCAATCATGTACTCAAGTAGAGCCAACGATGATGATTTGGGGTCTGTGAATGATTATAATTTATGTCCAAACCTGTGTAATCATTTTGAAATGGGTTGTTTCTGCCCCAAACACAATGCTTTTTGTTCATTTTCTGAGGTATTTGGTGGTGTGCTTTTTATTACATTTATGAGCCTTGAAATTCTTTGATATACTGTAAGTTAGAAATATCTCAAATATCTCAAAGCAACAGGCATGCTCAACAATCTTAAGGTGCATTAACCTTTCCTCTCCCACGAACACACAGGCTGTTCGAGGAATGTTGGACAATCCCAATGAGCCGGTCAGCGATCTCTCTTATTTTGACTGCATTGAGAGCGTTATGGAGAATTCCAAGGTAAAGAATCCATCACAACATTCCTGAATTCTCTAAAGAAATTTGTTCGTTCCAAATGTTTACACATCTCGCCGTCTGACTGAACAGGTTCTCGGGGAGTCCATGGCTGGAATCTCACAGCATTGTAAGACGGGAAACGTGCCAGCGTTCGGGGATTGTGTGGGTGTGGCGTCCAAAGCGCTGTGTGGGTTGACTGAGGCTGCGGGACAGGTGAGCTTTTAGCCTGATACTCTCTGAGGCTGCTCCCACAATGCATTTGAAACATTATGCTTTAGAAATGCAATTAAAAAATTCAATAGCTAACTTTTATCAACACCATTTGATTTAATCGACAACTTGAAAATGCTTTTGCAACACATTTAGCTTTTGGTGACATTTTTGAGGGTAACTGAATAGTTAGAGGGAAATAATGTAGGACAGGGCTTGTTTTTATTCATCAGTAAATTAGAATATAATATAATAATAAAGAAAGAAAATATTAAATTAAAAGATTCAAAACATAGTTATGCTGCTATTGGTTATATATGTTTTTTTATATTTTATATATATTTTACTGTCTACAGTGCATTGATTTTGTCAGCAGAGATGATTTTAGGTGAAAAAAAGTTCATTTTGGAGTAGTATTAGAATTTTTTTTTTTAATAATGTTAAGTGCACAAATTAATTAAGAAAAATTGGTCATATATAATGTAATGTAATAATTATGAATATAATAAATATGAATATATTAATTAAAACATGTAAAAAATAAAGAAATAAATAAAGAAAATAATGGATTAAAGAAACAAAAGTAATTTATCGTGGTTGGTTAATTGGTTAATATTTATTTTTTCTGCCCACTGCATTGGTTTTATCTTTCGTTTCGGAAGTGGAGAAAAGGAAAAAAATGTGAATGTAAAAGTAATAATAAATATTTATTGTAATAATGTACACTACACAAATTAATCTTGCACAACAAGGGAAATAAATAATATAATCTAATATTAAATAATAAATATAACAGTTAATATAATATAATAATATTAAGTAAGTAAATAAACACATACATTTTGGTTTCATGTTGAATTTACTAGTTCAACATGCCTTTATTTTTCGTCAGGCCTCTTATTTGGTAGGAGTCTCAGACCCCAACAGCCAGTCGGGTCATCAGGGATTGGTCGATCCCATCCAGTTTGCAAGAGCCAATCAGGCGATTCAGATGGCCTGCCAGAATCTGGTGGACCCGGCCAGCAGCCCATCCCAGGTGACTGGCTCTTTAGTATCAAGTTTCATTTTTATTTTTTACTTGTCTGGCCATATCCTGATTGGCTTTTTGTGGTTTTTGAATCTCTGTGGCTTGCATTTCCTCATCTTTTTGTTTGTGTAGGTTTTGTCAGCAGCTACCATTGTTGCAAAGCACACCTCGGCTCTTTGCAACGCCTGTCGTCTGGCGTCTTCCAAAACAGCCAATCCTGTAGCCCGGAGACATTTCGTGCAGTCAGCCAAAGAGGTCGCCAATACCACGGCTAACCTTGTCAAAACTATAAAGGTACAGCCTTCAATTAATTACCAAAAGATCATTTGGTACCAAAGTAATTGATAATTGATTGAATCGTGTGCATTAGCATGAAGAACTTGAGCTTGTCTGACCATTTGCAACCTTATAAGCATTGATAAAGCTTTATTTATGCGTGAGGATTGAAGTGTTTCAGCAGATGTGATCTCTCTGCTGTGTTTCTCAGGCCTTGGATGGGGATTTCTCCGATGAGAACCGCGAGAGATGCCGAGTGGCCACGACCCCGCTGATAGAAGCTGTGGATAATCTCTCCACCTTTGCCTCCAACCCTGAGTTTGCCAGCATCCCTGCGCAGATAAGCCATGAGGTGATGAAATACTGAATACCACAATATTTCATTTATTATTTTTTGTGTGAGTGTGTGGGTACTCATTCCACTGAATTTTTAGAGCCAAATTTTAAATCTTGAACCAAATCAAGAGGACAGACAATTCGAAAAATGCCAAAACAATGCTCTGGGGTTAGGATTTGTATTTTTTGGGCATTCCAGACAAACTGTGTAATAGTGAATCTTTCTGCAGGTTACAGCCGATTTGATCAAAAACATTGATTCATTCAGAAACAGTCACTTTATGAGTGTATCAGTAGGTGCGTTTACGTGGAGCATTGTAATCAATTTAAAAGTCCAATTCGAATAAAAATGCTCCATGTAAACACCTCAATCAGAATAAAAATGTCCAAACCGAATGAAATTGTAATCGGTTGGAGAGGGGTGGGATAAACCTTTCTATAAACCGAACAAAATTGAAATCCTGCCAAGTAAACATGCATTAAACCGATTACTTTGCGGCATTCTGGAATTTGGGAACACCGACACTACAGTATAGACTGGGAAATAGTGGAGGTAGATGTTAAAATTTAAATTATACCGTTATAAACACATTAGAATTAAGAACGCTTGCTGCGTAATGAACTGCCATATATGCTCTCTTGACCGGAGTGGAAAACGGATCTGAAATTAACCGTAATTTTCAGCTTTTCAGCTTGAAACAACACAATGGTGAGAGTATAGCTCAATGAAAATAAACAACTTGACCAAAATTTGCCTTTGTCATTTGTATTTATTTATTACAGATTCATAATTTCCAATCTGCTTGAATTTATAAGTGCTCACGCCATGAATAATGTATGAAAACACGCTTGGAAATGTTATTTGTGATATAGCTCGTTGCGATCACTCTCTGTGTTCATAAAGCAACGCTCCTTTGATTTATTGTTCAGCAACTCTTGGTAAGAAATAGTTTATTTGTTCTATTTAAGTACAGTAAAACTTCTTAGTATCACAACACAATTCATTTCAGAGCTGCGTTACAGAGGGCCGTACTGTTATTTTATCCCTCAATGCTTTAACATTTAGAAATTATGGCGATATGATGATGTGTGTTGATCAGCTGGCTGAGATCAAGCTATATTGTGTTTATTATTTTATCTGATAGATATATCTGTGCAACTTAGTTATTAGAAACTGCAAACGAGAAATCAGTTTGGTTCTGTGTGTGGTCCGATAGAAGACGGGCGTATAATTTCTATGAATGTGAATGTCACATGACTGAACGCTCGAATGAACGCAAGGGATTCAAATATTCGTCCGTTTATAGCAAGCACAAGCAGCTATTAACGCAGGCGTTTTTTTCCTCTGGTGATTTGTATTTGTTGTCATTCAGATTAGATAATGTCTCATGTAAACAGTCCACCGAATCTTTCAATCGGAATGATTTTAATCGGAATGACAAAAAAAGTGTGCATGTATACGTGGCTATTGAATCATTTACTCAACCGATTTGTTCAAAAGCACTGATTCGTTCAGGAACAAAACAAATGACTGTCTTTGAATGAATCATTTAATCATTTACTCAACTGATTTGTTCAAAAACACTGATACGTTCAGGAACGAAACAAGTGACTGTTTTTCTGAGTGAGTCGTTAAATCAACTCAACCAATTCATTCAAAAGCACTGATTCTTTCAGGAACAAAACAAGTGACTGGTTGTGTCTGAAATCAGATACTCTCTGAGTAGGTACTTTTTTTTTTAAATAAGTAATTGCTTTGCAAACATAAAGTATGTTCTATATAGTATGAATGTGTGTAGTGTGAACATAATCTGTATGTGCTACATCCATCATGTTTTCTTTGTCATGTGAGCATCAGTTGCATTGCTTTACTGCCATTCACAAATATTCTCAGATAATCGCCAGATGTAGTAGGCCTTCTGTTTTATGAATATTGTGATTTCGGACAAATTACTACTTTCACATTTTTCGCCTACAGTATAGTAGGGAAGTATGTGATTTCAGACGCAGCCCGTCTTTATTAGTGAGTCATAGAACTGTTCACTTAACCAGTTTGATTAAAAGCACTGATTCATTTAGGAACAAAACAATTGACTGTCTATATGAGTGAGTCATTGAATCATTTACTCAACCTATTCCACTTACTCATTCATCAATTAATCAAGTGACTGTGTTTTTGAGTGAGTGATTGAATCATTTATTCAAATAATTTGTTAAAAAGGACTGATTCATTTAGAAGCGAAACAAGTGTCTGTTTTAAGAGTGAATTATGGAATTATTCACTCAAGCAATTCATTCAGAAACACTGATTCATTCAGGAAAGAAACACCACTAGTGTGGGTTGCTCAGAGACAAGCAAAGGTTGATTTGTTTGTCTATTTTTGTACCATTAGTCACAATGGTTCCAAAGTAACTGCCAATATTTTGTCTAAAATGAAAAATTTTCAATTTAGCACACATGGTTAATTTTCACTTCACGTGTACTGTATTTCTTTGTAAAATGTGCCTACACTGACTTCGTGAATAACTAGATGACTCCTCTGTCTTTGAAATATTGCCTTAATTTTGTGCCAAAACAAAGTGGTTTCTCTCCGTTCACTGACTGTTTGACACTGGACTTCCTCACAGGAAGTCTAAAAGATCAGTGAGTGTGGATGGGAGTTTTGCAACATTTTTTTTTTTTAAACACAAGTCCCTGACAATTTTATCACCTCAGTCTGTTTCTGGGGTTTGTGGGAGTTTAGTTCTGTTCTTACAGCAGCTTCTTGCATGTTTTTAACATCTTGTTAGTTGTTAATAGAATTATTTAGGACTGAAAGTGTGTTTGTATCAACATTCAAACATTTTTGGTGATTCATCACATTTTTGCATTTGATGTTCTGTTTTTTGATGGATGGGTAATATAATAAAAAATATTGAAATTTAAAAAAATTTTTTTTAAATGTATTATGTATTATGAATATCATAAATACATTTCTTTTTTAAATTACAAACTTTTATTATAATTTTATAATAACTTTTTAATATTTTGTAAATATTTACAACATTATTTTCCCTTTATATGCGGTACTCACATTTTTATGTGACTTTAAGAATGAAATAATTAAAAACACTGTAAACTAAATTGTTTTCAATCCCAGGGTTCAGCAGCCCAGGAGCCGATCCTTCGCTCAGCCCGTTCAATGCTGGACAGCTCCACCCACTTATTAGAGACCGCCCGCTCGCTCATCCTTAACCCCAAAGACCCGCCCACCTGGTCCATCCTGGCAGGCCATTCCCGCACCGTGTCGGACTCCATCAAGAGCCTCATCACGTCCATCAGGTCAGCATCATGCAAATAAACACCTGATTCAGCGGTTTGGTGAATGTGAAAAGCTTGCGGCTTCAGTCTCCATCAGGTGATAAATAATAAAGATGAGGTTTAATTTAAACTTGTATTAAATAACTGAAGAGCAAGCGTTATTAACAGTAGCAGCTGTTCATTCCTCACACACGCTCTCGTTCTCTTCTCAAATCTTCCCGCGCACAGAGTCTGTTCCCCTCATTACAGCTCCAGGGGGATGTAATATCACCAACAAGCAGTGAAATGGAAAACCAGGGAAAGCCAATGAATACAGAATAATTATTATATTAAATTGAAACATAAACAGTTAAGCAAATCAATGTATAAACACACAAAACTGTCACAATAATTATTTAACAATTTCACCTGTGTGTTAGATTTAGTACACATTTAAATATACAGTATATTTAATAAATACAGTATGTGTTTATTTATTATTTTGTGTCTGTTTCCTAATATGTGTAATATTTCGTTTAGACCTAGTTTTTATTAGACACACTACTGTTTAAAAGTTTGGCGTCAGTAAGATTTCCTTTATTGAACATAAAAATGTTTTATTCAGGAAGGAAGGCAGTAATGACATTTATAATGTTCCAAAGATTTCTATTTCAAATAAATGCTGTTCTTTTGAACTTTCTGTTCATCAAAGAATCTTGAAAAACGAATGTATCATGGTTTCTACAAACATTTTAAGCAGCACAACAGTTTTCGACATTGATAATAATAAAAAAATGTTTCCTGAGCAGCAAATCAGAATGATTTCTGAAGGATTATGTGACAATGAAGACTGGAGTAATGATGCTGAAAATTCAGCTTTGCATCACAGGAATACATTACATTTTACATAGAAAACAGTTCCCAGTGTAGCAGTTTCAATAAATTACTTATTTAACAAAAATAGATGGGCTCGGCTCGCTGCCCATCTGGCTGCCCTCCACACACTGTCCTCCCAGATCAACCAATCAGAACTGGAGCTCAGCCAGCCCTCTGTGTGTGTGTGTGTGTGTGTGTGTGTGAGCAAAAACACCTACGTCTGCACTGACTCCTGTTTTATGAAACTGTAATGTACAATATCTGGATTGAGTTGAAAAATCGAATTCAATTAAGCTGAAAAGCACCCCACGGCAACCCTGTAGCAACCTCGTCTCCTCTGATGTGACAGGGACAAGGCCCCTGGGCAGCGGGAGTGTGACCAGTCCATCAACAGCATCAACAAGAGCATCAGGGACATCGAGCAGGTGTCCCTCGCCGCAGTGGGTCAGAGTCTGCCCCGCAGAGATGACATCTCTCTGGAGGTAAACCAATAAAACACCTGTCTGTGTCAAAACCTGCCATCACTCTATAGTAACATTACGTTTCTTTAATGTTGCTCTGGTGCACTGTTACTTTCTATTAGGTCTACAACAGCTTGTGTTGTGACATCAAGCGTTATGAATCTATGGAGGACTAGGAGTGCTGCTTAAAAAAAGATTAAAAATGAAATTAATCATCAAATGTATTTATGTACTAATTAAAATGTAAGTACATAAAATTCTTAAACTACAAATTCAACAAATAAATAGACATACATCTATTTATTTCATAAATAGTTCATTTAAATAGCATTTTATAAATGCTATACACTGCTTTTCTATATGCGTTTAAAAAAAGCCATATTGTTAAAAAAAATTGGACAGTTCAAATGTGGGAGCATCTAATGAACTTTCGACTGGATTTTAAGACACACACCTATAAAATGTTGCATTTAATAATTTGTTATTCATGTATTATTTTATTGTTGCATTGAACTACATTTTTAAACCATTAAATAAACTTTTTTTTAAAAGTCAATTTATTTGCCAATTTGCCAAGTAATTTCTTTACTTTTCTAAATTAATGAATAAATCAATACTTGATTAATTTTATTTTTAAGTGGCACCCCCAGTTCTCCATATCAGAGATTTAGTGTTATTTTAGAATTATTTATATACTTATATAATATTAATAATTTGAAGTAGCTTTATTTTTATTTATTGTCAGTTTTCATTTTCATTTTAGTTTGCGTTTTAGTAATTTTGTGCTTTTGTCATTTTTATTATTTTTTTTCGTATGTAAAACTTTCAGTTTTCAGTTTTCAACGTAGAAACATTTGTCATTTTTTTCAAGTTGAAGTTTTTCATCAAATATTTGTATTTTTTTTTCCAACTTTATTTCAATAAACAAAACCAATTTTTAATAGTTTTAGTTTTATTTAACAATAACAGCCCTTTTATGATTTGTAACAAAATGCCTTTTGGGGATTAATAATTGTGTGTTTTAGTTTGTTAAAAAAACATTGCTGGTGTTAATGTTAGTAATATTGTTAAAGAGGGCAATTTTGTTCCTTTTTCCTTTTAATATCTTAACTATATATTTTAATATAGTTTTTATGACCATATCCACCTTCGGAATCAAGCAAGTTTATTGTACCTTTAATAGTTTAAGAATTTGATACTGTGTCTTAAAAGTCACACTTTAGTTTCAGGTTCAATTCTAACTAGTAACTAACTATTACCTGCAACTTTTGCCTCAGTAAACTCCTAATTTGCTGTGTATTAATAATTAGTAAGGTAGTTGCCAAATTTAGGTATGGGGTATGTTTAAGGGATCTAAAATATCTAATGCAAAATAAGGCATCGATATGCACTTCATAACAAGTATTACTAAAAACAGCCAATATGCTAGTAATATGCATGCTGATAAGCAACTAGTTAATAGTGAGAATTGGTTCCTCCACTAAAATGTTACCCCCTATAAGAATATATACTGTAAATAAGATCTATTTTGATTGGCTAACCTCTATGTACTGTTCAAATCCCAGTGGACCAAGTTGTGGAAAACAGGCATTGCTATGTAAATGTGGCTAGTCATATGTTAACGTTAATAGTTGAAACATTTTTTTGAAACTTGGTCTTTAGAAAGAGGTCACACTTTGATTTCAAAAGAGCAAATTGATATTTTTCATATTATATACCCACTTTAACCTTCGTGCTAGTATTATTTTGCTATTATGAATGTTAGCATTAGCGTTTGAGGTAATGCTAATGTGACTCTGCTCCCATTAGGCTTTACAGGAGCAGCTGACGTCCACCGTGCAGGAGATCGGCCACCTCATTGACCCCATCTCCACTGCAGCGCGAGGGGAAGCGGCTCAGCTTGGACACAAGGTAACGGAGACACTTTAAAGGGGTCATATGATGCTGCTAAAAAGAACAGTATTTGGTGTATTTGGTGTAATGAAATGTGTTTATGCGGTTTACACATTATTTTCCACATACTGTACATTATTGTTCCTCCTCTATGCCCCGCCTTTCTGAAACGCGTCGATTTTTACAAAGCTCATCGGTCTGAAAAAGCGAGGTGTGCTGTGATTGGCCAGCTATCAAGTGCGTTGTGGCCTAGAGTGAGCGGCGGCGGCCTACAGTGAGCAGAGGCCGGGGGATAAAGTGAGGAACGGCCGGCGGGCTAGAGTGAGCAGAGGCGGCGGGCTTGAGAATGGCGCGGCCCGGCGATTTCGACGAAGGAGCGTCCGGAAGGACATGTGACGACTCCGGGCTGGACTCCGCTTCGTCCACTGTGAAAGCCGATCCCGCGATCGACAGCGCAAAGTTGTAGTATTTACTCAGCAACCAGCACGGATCAGCTCCAGGCATGACGAAGCAGATATCGTCCTCTTTTGGAAGACCAAACAAAGTAGTTTCGCTTTTACAACGAAGCACACAGCGTCTTTATGACATGGCGGCGGAAACAACAAAACTACAGCGAGAATAAAATTTACGCCTTCTTTCTTTGCGTGAACATTTGGGCGGCGTTATGCAAATCTTCCCACAGAGCGACGTAGATATGTGGGGGCGTGTTAGAACGAGGCGTTTTAGGTAGGCGTGGTTGACTCTTAACTTTTATAAAGAATATCTCTTTGGATTTGAGACTTTAGTCTTTGCAACTTTACAGATCTTCTTTATGCACCAAGAGCTTGTAACACTCCAAAGAGAAAGGAAAAATTGAAATCGCATCATATGACCCCTTTAAACGTGGAAGTGCAAATAATGTTGCCTCTGCAGCAAATCCTTGATTGGCCAAATACGAAATGTTCCTGGATCAACAACCTCGTCCTTCTTCATACTTTCATATATTACGTCTTTTTTGTGCAAATCACACAGTGCCACTCGAATAAACATATGACAGCATGTCTAAAAATACATATGACAGCATGTTTGAAAAATGTGTCTAAACCGGTTTTAATTAAACCCGGCTTTGTTTGTTGCAGCAAGATTGATGCCTCCTGTCTGTAGTGTTTGTCAGCTTGTCGAATAAATAGCTGGAAAATGAAGAAGTTGTATGAGTTCACTCTATATATCACTCTTACCTGAAATATACACAGGAAACTGTATGTTTGCATGCCAGATTGTCTTAACGTGTTTTTTTTTTTCCAAGGTGACTCAGTTAGCGAGCTACTTCGAGCCAGTGATTGTGGCGTCGGTGGGACTGGCGTCTAAACATGCCGACCACCAGCAGCAGATGAACATACTGGATCAAACCAAAACGCTGTTTGAATCTGCTCTACAGATGCTCTACGCTGCCAAAGAGGGCGGAGGAAACCCTAAGGTATGACACATGGAAATAACAACAACACATGGGGCATTTTTATGAAAAAAGCTTCATGTTCTGAAACCACCTGCAGGTTTGCCACCTGTAGCATTTGACGGCACATTCCCAGAGCTTCTGGTTAGAAAGAACAGACTTTTATTATTTGTATGTTGCTGAAGTGGTGCTAATGGGTCTACGTTGGCCATCTTTATCCCATCAGCCACTATTTTTTTTGTTCTTGTAGGCGACCCACACCCATGATGCCATAGCTGAAGCTGCCCAGTTGATGAAGGAGGCAGTTGATGACATCATGGTGACCTTAAACGAAGCGGCCAGTGAGGGCGGGATGGTGGGCGGCATGGTGGAGTCCATCGCTGAGTCCATTGGAAGGGTGAGTGACTCCATGTTGAAAATAAGTGGATGGCTGTGTTTCCCAGTCTAATATCTGTTGCTAATATCAGGAGATCAGGGGGCAATGGCCAAAAAAGTCCATATAATAATAATAATCCTAAACATTTTTTGTAACCCTACAATTTTTATTCGCTTTTCAATACCAATAATTCATATAAAATGATGATGATGATGATTAATATTATTATTATTTTTGTAATTATTATTATTATTATTAACATGAAAAATAAGTGTACAAAGAACCAAAAAAATACAAAAAAGAACAGTTTGACCAATACAGAAAATGATAATATATTATAGATTGTCATTTATTTATATATTTTTGTGACAGACAAAAAATGAAGTCATTATTTACTCTCAAATTTCACTTGCATTTGTATATCATAACCACTTAAATATAGAAACATAAACTCATTCACGGTCTTATTTAGTCAGATATATGTAAATGTGTTTGTGTTTTTGTAGTCAATATGGGGTGCTGTGTGTACATTAATGAGGAAAAAAAATTAACTTAAGTGATTTTAGCAAATGGCTGCAATATAACAAAGAGTGAAAAATTTAAGGGGGTCTGAATACTTTCCGTACCCACTGTATATATGAATAATGAAAATAAGAGTTTATACAATTGTATAATTAAGTATATATTAATAATAAAAGAACTGTTTGATCAAAACAGTAAAATAATTATATATATATATATACAGTATATATATATATATATATATTA